GGGTCGCGGCATTATGAAGATTGAGAACTACTGTCTAAGACTGTTCCCTCATTTGTAAAACAAACCAAAAAAAACACCTGCATTAACAAATAGCACATTTCTTATGGTAAGGAATAAATAAAATAGCATAAAATATCTGGTCATGGTAGCTGCTTGGGAAATGTTCTGCTGAATCTCAATTTTTCCCTGAACAGTTCCCATTGATGGAAGTAGGAGGAGCCCTCCCTGGAAGAAGGTGCTCATTAAATATTTGCGGAGAAGATGGAGCCATGTTAAACCGTTTATTCACAGAGAATTCCCTGTGGTCCTGGCCTGAGAGACCCTGAAGTTAGGCCCTGAGCTAACTCTCCTGAAGCTAAACTCTGGTATCACTCACAGATCAGGGTGAGACTGCATCCATCACGTAGTCTCCCTTTGTCACAAGGGAGCAAAGAACAATGATGTGACATGAGAATAACTTAGGGTTTTAAACTTCTATCAATGATCATTTGTTCCAAAGGTGGGTGGAGGGGAAAGGGAGTGAAGAGACTGTTTTATCCTGTTGTGCTGGTGTCAGATTTGTAGTAGTAATTTTAAGTTAAATTAGCCAAAGTTCATTGGTAATTGTTTATTGTCTGTTGTTGCTGACTTGTACCAGGCATTCACAAGACTTGATTATGTCTGCAACCTGGATGATTGCCAGTGGGAGACGGCATCCATTATGAAACATCCAGATTTAGGAGATGTTAAAGGATGGGGTAAACACGCTTCTTAGAATGGAGGAAATAGAATAATATAAGGATATGTTTAAAATAGAACTTTAGAAACAAAAAGAAGTATAAAATAAGAAAACACATCATTTGTTGCTTGTACTAGGGAAATTACAGACATCTTTGGGCCCCTCAATTGTACAAAGCACAGCCCAGCTTCTAGAAAAGATCAAAATTCCTCGGGAGAAAGGATGCATTTGCTTCTTTATTAATTCCTCCAGGCCTTCATACTCTGAGTACAGCTCCTCCAAGAGAGATTCAGGAGTAAATTGCAAGTCTTCTGATGATACTAGATATAAAAAGAGTTATAAATGTGAGGTCAATATCATATTTATTTATATGATTAATTACAATTAATAAAAAGTAATTATACTTATACTCAAATATAATGGATCTTATGATAAATTAAATATTTTTGGAATATGTTCTTTTATAAATATTATTATCATAATAATAAAAGGCCAGAGGAGTCATGACCAGAACAACCAAATGACCAGTCACTATGAGGTGCATGGAGCACCTCTTGATTCCCCCCACATCCAGCCCATGAGCAATGGCTCTCACAGTGTGCGGAGCAGGGCACCTCTCCACAGCACAGTGGGGTGGGGTGGGGCACTCTCCAAGGTGTGGCAGGTCGGGCAGGCCCGATTTTGCACACTGAGCCTCTAATCGACCTAATAAAAGACTAACATGCTAATTGTCTGTACCTTCATGACGCCCACCAGCCAATCAGGAATGAGTGTGCAAATTAACTCCACAAAGATGGTGAGTTAATTTGCATACACAGGCTCCCAGTGGCTGGGGATGAGGCGGGACGCTTGCATTGTTGTCATGGCCACCCCAGCCACTCCAGACCTCTGGGCAGCGTGGGAAGGCAGAAAAGGCTGCTCTGGCCAGACCAAAGGTGGTGCTGGCAGCCAGGGGAACAAAGGCCCATTCTTGCACGAAACTTCATTCGTGCATCAGGCCACTAGTTTTATAATAAATGAAAAGATAATTTGCTTAAAATCACACAGCCAAGCTGGTCACTCAGGAAAGACCTGAAGCTGAGCAAGACAATCACAAGGGACTGCAGCAAGGCTTCCATTTGCTTAGTGTCTGCAAGGTAGTAGGACTTCGGGTACTTAATCAGAGAGTCTGAACCTTCAAAGGACTCTGCATTGCTCTCAGGACTCAGATGGAGGACCTTGGTCATGACACACAGCTTCCCAGTGTAGCCCCCCATGTTCACCAGCTTCTGCTTCAAGGTAAAGGCGGTACTGGTGCAGTACAACTGCCCATCTGCATCCTGCTCCCCAAGAATGGTATAGAGAATGGGGGGGCTGTTCTGTGTTACCAGCAGAGCATCGCATATGACTCCCTGTTTCTCTTGCAAGCTCAGGTCCACAGCCCAGCTTCTAGAAAAGATCAAAATTCCTCGGGAGAAAGGATGCATTTGCTTCTTTATTAATTCCTCCAGGCCTTCATACTCTGAGTACAGCTCCTCCAAGAGAGATTCAGGAGTAAATTGCAAGTCTTCTGATGATACTAGATATAAAAAGAGTTATAAATGTAAGGTCAATATCATATTTATTTGCATGATTAATTGTAATTAATAAAAAGTAATTATACTTATACTCAATCATAATTAACCGTATGATAAATCAAATATTTTTGGTATATGTTCTTTTATAAATTGTACCTTCATGACGCCCACCAGCCAATCAGGAATGAGTGTGCAAATTAACTCCACAAAGATGGTGAGTTAATTTGCATACACAGGCTCCCAGTGGCTGGGGATGAGGCGGGACGCTTGCATTGTTGTCATGGCCAATTTCATAGCACATGTGTATTATCTCATCATTGACTAGGTCTTACTTTATATAACAGGACATGCTTCCTAAGGAAATGATGTCAAGGCTTGAAGTGTCCCTTTCACCCTAGCCAGTTTGGTTTAGTGGTTGGAATATTGGCCTGGGTACTGAAGGGTTGCAGGTTCGATTTCATTCAATACTCCAGACCTCTGGGCAGCGTGGGAAGGCAGAAAAGGCTGCTCTGGCCAGACCAAAGGTGGTGCTGGCAGCCAGGGGAACAAAGGCCCATTCTTGCACGAAACTTCATTCGTGCATCAGGCCACTAGTTTTATAATAAATGAAAAGAAGTATTGAAAACCTGGCACACTTCATCTAAATCTATGTGCTTATTATGTTTATAACCTTGGGAAATTCCTTAGTTTCTCTAAGACTGTTCCCTCATCTGTAAAACAAACCAAAAAAACCCCCCAAAACCCGGATTAACAAATAGCACATTTCTTATGGTGAGAAATAAATAAAATAGCATAAAATATCTGGTTCATTGTAGCTGCTTGGGAAATGTTAGTTCTATTGTGTTTCTCTCACATTGATGTTTTTCTCTCCCTCTCACTCGCTTTTCTCCCTTCCCCAATCCTTTCCATTCATTCTAAAAAGCAATGGAAAAATATTCTCACTCCTTGGATGAGGATTAAAAACCATTCTTTAGATTTTTGGTACAATTCCTGAAAATTTGACTTTTTAAAAAGAGATTTTTATTGATTTCTAATTTTATGGTTGGGGGTCACCACAACGTGAGGAACTGTATTAAAGGGTCGCGGCATTATGAAGGTTGAGAACTACTGTCTAAGACTGTTCCCTCATTTGTAAAACAAACCAAAAAAAACACCTGCATTAACAAATAGCACATTTCTTATGGTAAGGAATAAATAAAATAGCATAAAATATCTGGTCATGGTAGCTGCTTGGGAAATGTTCTGCTAGCCACTGAGCCAAACTGGCTAGGGCAAAATTTGATTTTTATATAAGAAAAATAGATTGTTTCTCTTATGAACATACAATCTACTATTTGTTTTAGTTATCTCCCTTTGTCACAAGGGAGCAAAGAACAATGATGTGACATGAGAATAACTTAGGGTTTTAAACTTCTATCAATGATCATTTGTTCCAAAGGTGGGTGGAGGGGAAAGGGAGTGAAGAGACTGTTTTATCCTGTTGTGCTGGTGTCAGATTTGTAGTAGTAATTTAAAGTTAAATTAGCCAAAGTTCATTGGTAATTGTTTATTGTCCATTGTTGCTGATGGTTTCTCACTTGTACCAGGTGTTCACAAGACTTGATTATGTCTGCAACCTGGATGATTGCCAGTGGGAGACGGCATCCATTATGAAACATCCAGATTTAGGAGATGTTAAAGGATGGGGGAAACACACTTCTTAGAATGGAGGAAATAGAATAATATAAGGATATGTTTAAAATAGAACTTTAGAAACAAAAAAGTATAAAATAAGAAAACACATCATTTATTGCTTGTACTAGGGAGATTACAGACATCTCTCGGCCCCTCAATTGTACAAGGGAGAAATACTCATTTATTCTCCTTTTTATGAGAAAACTGGAACTCAGACAGGTCAAGTGAGTTGCCCATGGCCACACCCATAGGAAATGGCAGAGCCAGCATCCAAACCCAAGCCTCAGACACTATTGTGGTTTCCACTCTACTGCACTGCCCTGCAAGTCACACAGACTGTCCCTCCTGATAAATGGAGAAAAGCACTAAAGAATTTCATAGCACATGTGTATTATCTCATCATTGAATAGGTCTTACTTTAACTATATAATAGGACATGCTTCCTAAGGAAATTATGTCAAGGCAAGAGGTGTCCCTTTCACCCTAGTCAGTTTGGCTCAGTGGTTGGAATATTGGCCTGGGGACTGAAGGGTTGCAGGTTCAATCCCGGTCCATAGCATGTACCTTGGCTGCAGGTTCAATCCCTGGCCCTGTTTAGGGTGAGAGCAGGAGGCAACCAATTGATGTGTCACTTGAACATTGATGCTTTTCTCTCTCCCTCTTCCTCTCTTTCCCCCCTTCCCCAATCCCTTCCACTGTTTCTACAAATAAATGGAAAAATATCCTCACTCCTTAGGTGAGGATTAAAAACTATTTTTTTTTTATTTTTGGTACAATTCCTGAAAATTTGCCTTTTTAAAAATATATTTTTATTGATTTCAGAGAGGAAGGGAGAGAGAGATAGAGACATTAATGATGAGAGAGAATCATTGATTGGCTGCCTCCTACACACCCCCTATTAGGGATCAAGCCCACAACCTGGGCATGTGCCCTTGACCGGAATCAAACCTGGGACCCTTCAGTTCGCAGGCCGATGCTCTAGCCACTGAGCCAAACTAGCTAGGGCAAAAATTTGTTTTTTATATAAGAAAAATAGATTGTTGCTCTTATGAACATACAGTTACAATTTATTCCATGGTAATAAGCTCTACTAAAATGGAGCTTATAGAGTTTTGAAAATAGTTATCGTCACAGCCGGTTGGCCTGGAGGCCAAATCCCTCCCAATGTTACCTACAACAATCAAGGCTTAGCTACAAGACTGCGCACAAAGACCACAAGGGGGTGCACCAAGAGTGTCTACCTCAGGTAATTGG